TGAAGTTATTATGTTGAATTATCATCTTTCAATTATTTTATGTGATTATTTGAGTTTATTATTTTAATTATTTTGAATTCTATTTTGAGGATGCTATTCACTGAAAAATTATTTTGGTCTCAGATTCATTAGCCGACGCTGATCCTACTACCAATCTCAGAAGGAAAATGTAGTTATATTGGGTGAAAATTTTATTTGGTGTTGTTACCTTTTTATGAAATATTTAAGTCATATGTATCTTAATTTAAAAGAAAAATTAGTTGCTCCATGTAGATTAATTTAAGTCATATGTATCTTAATTTAAAAGAAAAATTAGTTGCTCCATGTAGATTATTGTTAGAATTTTATTTTGATTTATATGTTGTTTGCTGGCTAGAAGGAGCTAAGCTCCTGACTGATATTATATTTTGTGAAAATTTTTGTGTTGTATAATTTTTAGGAGATCCTATTTACAGGACAGGTTCTACCAAAATTTTATAAAAAATATTGAAGTTTTGCTGTGACAATTAATATTTAAAGTGTTATAATTTTCATATAACTCAATTATTAAAAAAAATGAAAATGAAACAAATTTACATTTTGAGGCTTACAAAAATGTGTGATGTAATTCACACCCATGTCGGTCACTCTATTTTCGGGGCATGACAAGATGAATACAAACAAGCACGCAATGTTGCCTAATATTTCATTAACTCAAATGTTAACTAAATTTAAAGATAAATAATAATAACAACTCAATCTGGATTGTGACAAGCTCAAAATAATATGTCTCTCTTGCTTTTGGCCTTGAATGCATTGGTAATTTTTTGAGAATGATAATCAAAATTGTAGGAACTTGTATTGTGAGGGCTAATAAATGAAAATTTCATCATCATTGAGCTCGGCACTATAAAGTATGATACAAGTACCTAAAATAAAAAAATACAAATAATCGCAACTAATATTAAATAAATACCACAATAAAAAATAAAATTTAGAAAGTACTTGATGTATAAACTAATTTGTGTGGTTTGTAGCCAATCCTTGGTTAGAATCTCATTAACATTTTCAGCCACTAATTTTTCACTAATCATTTCACCAAAATCTCATTTTCAAATTTTATTTCACGAATCTTATTTTTAAATGTTGTTCACATAATCACTTCACGTGTTTTTTAATGAGAATATTTTAGCTGAGTAGATTCTATGCTAGTCTTCCCTACCTTAGTTATAGAGGTAAATTCTTTCTATGCCTTTTCTTTTGATTTGATTGGCTTCTTTATTGTTTCTTGAGATTTTGAGGACTACAAAATGTAAAATTAATTGATAAGGCTAAAATTAAACATAAATGATTTTAAAGAACTAGCAATTATTATACCTGTAACTTAATAACCATTGTAAGCCAGGCCACATAAGTGCTAGCCGTGTCAAAACTTGTGAATATATCCTCATTTGCTATTTGTAGTGGCAACTCAGCATTATTTTCTATTGGAATAATTATAGTCACCTTCAATGATCAGCAGGCAAAGGTCTAGGGTATATAGTAATGCTATTATCATTATATACAGATTCGAGTGCCATAACACAATAATGTGGTGATTCTAACCATAATTGACATTGTGATTCACCTTAAAAAATTACAATTAAGATAATGTGGTGAATCAGGTTTCTGAATGATATGTTTTATTATGATATCAGCCTAATTACAATTAAGAGAAACCTAGTATTTATAGGCTTTATGTGCAGAAAAGTCAAATAAAACAACAAATGACCTAACTTCCTTTTAATAACTACCACTACCTAAATAACATGGTTTTATTATTTGACATATCAATCACTCTTCAAGCTTTAGTTGAAATTGCTAGAGGTCCGCTAAAGAGTTAGCGCTGATGTGTTCACCCAAAAAAAAATTCATTTAAATTTCATTTGCATATTTCTTATTCTTGTTAGTTATTTTGCAACTCCACTTAAGCCTTCCAGGTTGTTATCCCAACCTGCAAAACATTAAACATGAGTTGCAGCAATAACAATATATGACTGCATTTAGTATCTCATTTAATTAAAAAATGCAATGTTTATGATGTCATCATTTTCTATTATATATATATATATATTTATCTGGAGATATGATAGGATCTTAGATAGGTAGAAGGAAGTGAGGAAGATAAATTTCTATTAATGTCTGAAATAAGAATCTAACTTTATGATATTAATAGGAGAACAAAGAATTGATAAAAGAAAATAGAAGAAATAAATTTATCAAGATGATATGGAACAAAATCTTGTTTTATACTTTTCTTGATAGCCATGCATAGGAGAGTCTCTTAAGGGCCAAAAGTCTTAAAGTCTGTTTTATTCAGGATATGCCTACTTATGAGTTGCTAAGCATATTTATAATGCTAAATACAATTTAAAAAATGAATAAAATTTAAATAACTAGATAATTAAATAAAAACTGAATAAAATCTCCTAAAATCTATATTTGGATAAAATATTGAATAAAATCTAAAAAAATAAATATCTAAATAAAGTCTAAATAACTAGATATATGGATGAATATCTAGATAAAATCTACATAACTAAATACCTAAATATAATCTACATAATATTATTAAATAGAAAATATCTAAAATAAATTAAAAATAATATTTATTTTTAATGTCTTTAACTTCTCAAATTATTCATTCTCTCTCCATAATTGGTACTCTATCAAGATACAAGTATCATTTTTAATCCATCAAATCAAATTTTCCTTTCCATTCCAATTTATTCTGTGCTCCAAATGAGACATTTTTTTATGGGCCTCGTGGCACTATCGATGAGTAACATTTTCCAAGAAGAGGGTGGACCTGTCTTGCTTGCACCCTTTTTAGAGAAAAACATCCTTGTGAATGTGTTTGAACGTCTAGGTTTAATGTCTGCCAAAAATTTGATCATAGTATTCTCTTGGATGACTTTGTAGGTTGCAGAAAGTACTACCTTTGCTGAAGACATTGCAGCCAAAGATAGTTCTGGTGATTTTATACAACTTACGTGGATACATTTCATATTGACCTTACTTTCTTTTGACTCCTTATTTTTTATGTAGTTTCCTGAGGATTTAAGGTCACAGATCAGTTTTCCAAGTGCAAGCTCATTCACAGTTTCTCATTACACTGAAGGCAAAACTCTGAAAGTACCATGCCAAAAAGACAACAGAGAGTTAAAAATTGCAACAGACTTGGCTTCTCAGTTCTAATGGAAGAAGTTGAAAAAAGAAGACATCAATATCTCGAGATTAAAGGGGGAGTTATTCCTGGAAAATGCTAAGCATCACTTGTTTTTGCAAAACCAACAAGAAAATTCGTCAAAAAGTAGGCCTCTGCTTCATTGGGGTTCACCTGATATGGGAAGGCTTTTGACAGCATTATCAAAGTTGGGCATTAATGCAACTCTGGAACATGTTACAAGTAATACAGAACCACATAGTACCAGTGTTCTTCATGTGCAGGAACCTCACAGAGCTTCAATAGAGGTTGGAGCAACCCGTACTGTTATTACTGCTGCAAATGAGGATGTGACCTCCCTAATTTTTGAAGCTATAGATAGCATTATGGATGGGGTTTGAATTAGTGACCTTTATTTCTTTGATGTTTTCACAGAATTTTTTTTTTCATGGTGACTAAAGTCAATCATGGTTTTGTGATTTGCTCTTTGATTAACATTGGGATTATCATCTAATTGAAACAAAAGGTTTGTTATGGAATATATATGGTAGTTCAAAATGGTGCATTGTTACTAGGAGTGAAAATAGGATAGGCTAGATTAGGCTTTGATCAAATAGATACGAGCCTCTATCGTGAGTGCAAATTTGCCATAAATTATTTGCTGCTATTCCAATGAAAACCAAAGGCTTTCTTTTCGGTGATGGCGAAGAACTTAGTGGAAAAATGCTGACTTCTTAGAAGGAAAGAGTAGAATATAAAATATACGATAAATATTTTTAAAATAAACGAATAATTTAATCTTTAAAAGGTCACTCTTGATTTGTCAAAGATAAATTTTTTTGCTTGCCTAGTACTTTCTTTTTTAATCAAAATAGAACTTCCATGAGGATGGGGTTGGATTCCATTTGTGTTGTATGAGATTTTATCTTTTATCTTTTGGCTAACACATTTGAGATTAATTTTGGCTAGTTCTACCCGTGTATTTTCCTATACTAGAGTTTAACGATTTTTCCATTCAATTTCTCTAATGCATTTTTTCAATGGAAGATTAATTACGATATAAAAAAAGTAAAAGAAAAAATTCTATATCTTTCTCCATGGGTTTCATTTTATGGTAGTTGATTATATCTACTTATTTAAGTGGATTGACCTCCTCAAATGACTTTATTTTAAATTACGGATAAATTTTAATACATCAAAGAGTTACAATTACCTTTATGAAGGACTTACTTGATTGAAAAATAATTTAGATTTAAATTGAAAAAATTATCTTTATTACATTAGGAGTAATTTTTCATATGTTAAACCATCAATTATATAAGATGAGGGAGCATTTGGATTAATGGATTTAGATTTGAATTTCATATTTGACACCTTGTATTTGAAATTTATATATTTAAAATTCTTTGTTTAGGTATTTTAAAAAAATTAAATAAAGAAGACATATATGAACTGAGATTCAAAGCAAATATTAAAAATTAGAAATAAAAAATTTATGTTTATTTTTTAATTGATAAGAGATGAGGAAATATATGAGAGTTGTAGAAGTACCAATAGTGAAAATGCAAAAAGAACAATAGGCTTGAAGTAATTAAAATTATGGAAAGAATTTAAAATTGCAAAAAATTTATAATTTGAAAAGCAGATTCAAATTCATAAATTTTTGTATTTCTAAATGGGAGACTTAATTCAAATTTAAATTCAAATCCTCATAAATCCAAACACATCACAATATAGTTTCGGGGATTGAATCTAATCTAAGATTTTAAAATACAGACCAATTCAAAAAACCAAACATTAATTTATAGTAATGGTTTGATTGTCAAGTTGGCAACATTTTTCACCATACCACCTTGATATTCATATACCATGTCCTCTAACTTCTCACATAAAGATCATGCCACTAAATATTTACAAACAGTTAACAATTCAGAATCACAAACCATTGGTTCTAGTCCCAGTCTTTACTTCTGCAACATATATTTTAATTAAAGTCTTAACGACTATCAAGCGGTCTCAAATAAATCACAAATAGAATACAACCATAGACAAGTTTTAATAAGGCCATGAAGCATCAGATCATTTCCCAAGCAAAGTCATCAAGAACCTTCTGTAGTCTCCTGAGGTATCTCCTGAGGTATCATCTTCAAGACTGGATTTGTACATGGCGGCATACTCCACTTCAACTTTCGAAAGGTCGATTTCAGCTCGAGTTACAATAGCTCTAGTGAGAGAATCTTCATCAGTTCCCAGCCCCCATATAGAGTCTTTTACAACTTGTTGATAATTAAAGTCAAGGAAATCAAATTAGAGATTTGGGGTCCCTGCTCTAGTCAGAAATAATCTATCAATATGTGCACATATGTTCTTCCTTGATCTGTTTTCCCTCCTTTCTCATTGGAGTTTCTGCAAAAAGGATTTCTTTATTGATGAAATGAAATGTCTTCAGCTCTATAGACCCTGATAAGTTATTTTAAATTTAACTATTAAGTACTTCCCCTTGATCATAACACAAGGCATTGGTGACTTCTTCACAGTTTTAAAAAGAAGTTTGGCGAAACCTTAATTTTTTTTAAAATTATATATCTTTTCAATTGTAACTTCATTAAATAACCAATATAAGTGCTATAATGACAATTCTAATGCATATTTTTTTTAAAAAAAAAGAAGTATTAAATGAAATAACATATGGTTAGAAAAACAATTATAAAAACTATTCAATGCTTTATATTTTTGGACCAAGCAGAACTTTTAAAAAATTCCTTATATTGTAGTTTGAAGGGAGTACATAACATATCATCAAGTCATTGGGAAGAAGAAAATTACCTTAGCAAAATGTTTCTCGGGGCAATCTATGCAACACACTATCACATTTAAAAGAGACTCCAAATCTCCTTTTCCACAGTTTTTGATATCCTATCAATGAAATCAGCATCCAAATTAAGTTCCACTAAAGTAAAAGGTAAAATTTATCAGAAATAAAGCGTTCTTCCAAAACCTGTTCCAATGGATTCCCATATAGTTGCTTGTAGTATGCAAAAGTCGCCCTGAGCTGGAAAACATTTCTGGTGCTAAGTATCCAAAAAACGTCATCGTGGTCTAATTGCTTCTTGTTGATGGCTTCATTAAGTCTTGCTGCCTCCAACATCGCAGCCTCGGGATCCACAACTTCTTTATCATACCTGTAGGAGCTCACTAGGCCCACCAAAAGCTACACAAATGACCAGATTATGATCCCATGAAAAATCATGGAATTGGTTAAATATAAAATGAGAGTGAAACATGAATGCAGCAACAGATTCTGCTATTAAAACTAGGCTTAAATAAGTCCTTGAATCCTATTTTACCAAGGAGTTCATTAGAACAACTCAAGTCTTATAAAAAGCAACATCTATTCAGGATTATCCAAAAGTTCCCACATCCTAATATAGGATATCTTCATTTTATAGAACTTCTTCCAATACAAAAGGAACTATTCCGCCAAAATGCTATACAGTACACAAATGTTAGGACTTGGGACAAATAGCTAGCACACCATAAAATGACAAATCACAAGTATTAAACAAAAGTGAAATTCATAGAGTAGTATAAAAATTATAGCAAGGTTTGGATTTTCTGACACAACCATGAAGCTTAGTCTGATAAACAGAACAAAGTATTGTTCGAAGCAGACAACCAAGGAAATAATATACGATACTGAAACAACGTTTCATGAATTGTATAAAATAGATACAAAAGTCAAGGAAAGGGAAGAAAGAACAACATACTCTAAAGTCTCCGGATAGTTCAGAATGTAGACGATCAATGAGGGATTCATTGTAAAGCTGATGATAGGTTTCTCTAATTTTCTTCATTTGGTTTGCATTTCTGTGTCCCAGTACAGATATCACTGCCTCCTCATCCGTTCCAAATCCTACGTACATTTTCCCAGAAGCATCATCATCGACTATGATATATATGAAACTAGAACTAATCCACATAGGATCATTTTTAAGTGTATATTATTAGTTCTAATTAGTACAACTCAGCACCACAAAATTGGTGTTAAGAGTGTATGAAACCAAACAGAAAATACCAAAGAAGCTTCAGACATAAGACGTCCCAAGAACAAAATTGGACCATTTATTCAGCTCTCGCATTCCATTTGAAAGAATGAACTTTCATACAAAAGAATCTTAGCGAAATACATGCATTCAAATTACAAAATGCTATTTGATGAGGTCTCACTAACAGAGCTTATATATCCTGTGGATTAAGAAAAACTCCATCATTAACATGAACCAAGGCGCATAAATTCAGAGATAGCTTAAGTCATCAGAAAAACCAAAGTAAATGAACGAACTAAATCCCAGATATAATATTGTGTATAAGTTAATCAATCTTTAGTGTAAACAGTATGTAAGAAATAGATCTTCAAAGGCCTTTCTGAGTCGCTCGCTGTCCTGGATTGGAGCAGTAAACTCAGGCACTCTCAGAGAAGCCATTTTGCTTGTCAGACCGACGTTGGCTACTTTCTCCCCAGAAATCTTTCTTCTTTCATGCAAGCAAACGCATTTTTTTTTTCTGGACCTTTTTGCCCATGACTTAAATAAAGAGCTTTTATTGAGGAAAAATTGCAATCATACACCCAAAGTCGACAAAAATTACGTTGGAAGTTTTCAAAGGCAATAATAATTTTTAGGGATCGTCCTTATATTTAAGAGAGTTATCAGTTTAATCCGTCAAATTTTTTGGGCTCAAATTTAATTTAATTCATCAAATTTAATGTTTATCGTTTTAGTCTTCAGTGTTTGTTTCGGTTATTGAGTTCGTTTTTTGGAGGACTATATAGATAACTTCACAAAATATTGAAATTAAATTTAAGAGATCATATTACTTCAAATACAAGGGACTAAAAGTTACATAATCCTTTAATTTTACTACAAAATGTTGTTATTAAATTTTATTGATTCATTGTAACGTTTCTCAAATAGAATTTCCCTAAAATCCTTTTGGAAGTTTTTGGAAGTTAATTGCAATTTTTTGACATTGATAATTACAATTTATAAGTTCTTTCAACACAACTAAATGCAATGCTATCCATAGTTTGTAAAATTATGTTTTACTATATATTAGATATTGATATTCATGATTTTCAATATACAGATTAATTTGTTCGATCTAATTGTTTTCATCTTTAATTAATAGAACAATTTGTTGTATTCATGAAATTTATGTTTATATAATTTAAAACTTATAAAAAGTTATGTTATTTTTAAGCCTTAAATGGTATGAATAGTTTAAAACATAGGGCTATTATCCAATTTAATTTGGAATTAGATTGGCACCATATTTTAAGCGTATTTATGTTTACACCCAAGGATTATAATTATTATTATTTTCTTGTTTTGGGAGTTAAAAACTAACAAACATTTATTTGAACTATCAACACAATGATTGGGCATCAAATTAATTCCTACATGACGCATATGGGAAGCAAGGTATTATTATTTATTATTATATTATATATGCAAGTAACACATGGGGTTATTATATTATTATATGATATACATTGTTGGTAAGAAAATTATATATATATATATATATATAAGGTTATATGCATTAAAGTACATGATTTTCTTACATGGAAAGTAAAGTATTATTAAATAAAATAAAAACTTTTAAATAAAATAAAATAATATACCAATGGTTAAAATATGAAAAGGATTTATGTCAGAGATTAGCAAGATATTCATATATGAGAAAATGGAAATGATAAATATTGTTCATGACACATAAATAATGTAACTAAAATCTTTATATATGAAGCCAAAATTACAAATAAATAATGCAGCCCTCTCTATAAATTTACACACACATATATTTATATATTTATTGATTTTATATATGTTTAATAATTTTTTCATGATAAATTAATGAAATAACACACAGATCGTTTTCACAATACAAGTAATACAATTTTACCTGCGTGTGATCAGTGTTTTAATTACTCTCCAAAATGCATATAATTTGTTAATCCAAATCAGTTCTGAGGTGTGGGAGGGGCATATAAGTAATTTTTTGACCCTTATTCCGTTTCAATTTAATTATCGAAAATAATTTTTTTTAAACGAAAATCATTAAATATCAGTTTGAATTGAATCATATTAGGCTCATGATATCTCTGTTACAAAGAATGAAGATAAACAGGATACAATTAGAATACTTCCATATGATTTTGAATAAATAAATTCTCTCGTAACCATTTTTCTTATTTTATGTGAATGTCTAAAACATCTTATAAAGGGTACAAGGCTGACTAAAAGTATTAAAAATTAAATTGGTTATTGAACTGATTAAAATATTTGTTTAAGAGTTGATGATCAAAATCGTAATCAAACCATGATTAAATTTGTCATAAACAAACACTTTATTAGTTCAATCGGGGGTGGGTTGACTTTGATTTTCATGCTATGCAAAGTATTTGTTAAGGTGTATAATTACTAGAGAAAAGCATAACTATTGGTCCTTCTAGTTTCATCGTATTTTGTGATTGCTTTATGTATTTTTTTTTCAATATTCTATGTCCTTATGGTTTTTCCTATCAACAACGTTAATCCTTATATTTTTAAATACTTAGAAGAATAATGATGTGACACTAATAACATTAAAATTAGGGCATTTGATGCACAAGATAAAAATGCTTAACCCACAATGACTAGAAATTAAATCACTTTCCGACATTTGCAAATTCTGTCACCAAAATAGTAGTTTTCATCTGGAAAGCAATTGTCCCTTTTTTATTTTATGCTAATTCAAATTATCAACTCATTGTATTTTAAATATGTTAGCATCTTCATTAATGTGGCTAGTTACACATAAGATAATTTAACAAGGTTCTTAATGAATACCACATCATCATCCTTGTGGACATATTTAAAAGTAGAAAGACTAACGTTATAAATTGTTACAACTAGAGGTATCAGGAACATTGGGTAGAAAAAAACATACAAAGATAAATAATAAAGCTTAATAAAATTATAAATGTTTTCCCTAATTTCTAAGTGGATGAAACAAGTTAGATGCATGGCAAAAGTGAAATGACAAAAATGGGCTCCAGATATTCTATAAATAGAAGAGATCCATGGTTTTGTCATTTGTGAGGGAACTGGGAAGTCAATCAGGAGCATCAATGGCACGTATCAACCATGAAGTCGAAGCTCTTTCAAGTGCTCTCTCAGGTTCCTCCCTTTCATTCTTTTTTTTTTCTTTTGAAAAATTATATTTCTGCTTTTTTTTTCCTTATTCTTAAAAAATTATATTCTTTTTGGAAAATTCGTTCATTTTTGAAATATAAAAATTTTCACTAATTCTATTCTTTTGGCTGGGTGTTCCCTTGTTTCTGGGAAAGGAATAAACTTGAAGCAGCTCAAATATTTTATTTTGTTTTTAAGGTTTTCATTTTTTTTTTCTGTTTGAGAAAAATTGTATTTATCACCTTCAAGATCCTCAGGTTCTCATTTTGATCTACAGCAGCTTTAATTTCTCTTAATTTTTTCCCTCAGCTTTTACAGTCCCACTTAAAAGTTAATGCTAATTAGGTGATTTATTCAGGTGATTAAGTAATATAATTGCATGGAACCTTTTCAATTAGCGTGATGAGATCCAAAAAAAAAAAAAAGAGTAGAAGGGAAATGATGATATTTATTTAGTAATATGGAGGACTAAGTTGAAAATGTACTTAGTAATATGTTGCTAAAATAAGAATAATGTATTTTTTTTCTCTCTATTATTTATATCGAAATAATTTTGTTTAATTTTGTTGGTTAATTAATGAAGGGCATGGGATTGATGAGAAATCGGTGATATCAATATTGGGAAAATGGGAACCAAAGGAAAGTGAAGCTTTTAGAGAGGCAATGCCCCATTTCTTCATAAAGGATGAACGTGATTTTCACAAGTGGGATGATCATTGTGTTCGTCTTCTCAAGCATGAATTTATGCGTTTCAAGGTACCTTTTTTTTTTCCTTTTTAATTTCTTCTTGACATAATTTTTTTGAAAAATAAATTACAAATATTAGTTTAAACAGTTATAAATAAAAATTCTAACTGTAAAGCAAGGATTATATTTAAAATTCAAATGTTTTATTTGTATTTAGAACTGTTGAATTTATAATTATCTGAATCAATATTTATAATTAATTTTTCAAAAAATTTTATTAGGAACTTAACTTTCATAAATTTATTGTTTTATGATTTCATGGTCATTTTCCTTAAATTATACATATATATGATATTTGATATTGATAATTTTAAGGGAAAATATATATTTTTGAAATGAAAAAAATCTGAATAATTATAAAAAACTGTGGTATATGTGATTATTCTGTAATTTAATTTCGTTCAAATGATTGAAAGCGTATCTCTTCCGTAAAAAAATGTAAAGTATTTTTAATTAAATTTTACCTCTCAGTAAAGTATTTACTTATTTTTAAACTAATTATATCTTTTTAGATTTACCCCACTCCTCAAAAACTAACTATATCTTAATAATGTAAGACTAAATATGCTTTATTTTTTTAATATCCCACCTCTCAACTTTTTTTTTTACATTTTTAAATAGAGAAAGTATTTAATTTTTCTTTAAAAAATACATACTGATTAAATATCATACAAATGAAAGTAAAAAAGATATAGAAAAAATTATAATCAGGGCTCAAATAAAAAAATAATTTATTCATCTTATTCACAAGTCAAACTCTAATATTTACATATCAAACCTTGGTATTTACAATTGGATGAAATTTTATAGGTAATTAATTTTTTATATGAGAGTACATGTAATTTTTCTAAAAATAAAAGCTTAGAAATATAATAAATTACTAATGTGTGGCGTTAACGTGGGGAAGAATGCGGTGGTGCTACGCGCGATGCATGCGTGGGAAAGGACCGCGCGGTTAGCGAAGGAGGCATTGCTGAAGGGGCAACGGGCGTACGGAGCGCTGATTGAGATTGCATGCACCAGATCCGCTGATCAACTCTTGGGAGCTAGAAGAGCTTATCATTCCCTATTCGATCATTCCTTAGAAGAAGAAATTGCTACTCACGTCCATACCCATGAACGCAAGGTCAGTTAATAAATAATACGTGTTTGGTTTTGCGTTCAAACGTTGAAAATCATGTTTTTGAAATGCAAACTATGTTTTGTTCAGGGTAGTTACTAAATAATACAATTTTAAGAATCATAGTTAGGACTTAGAAACTTTAAAAAATAAAAATTAAACAACATAATTTTTGAGATAATATAACTTTTAGTTTCTAATTTTTTAATTATTGATTTAATTATTAAATTGTAAGTCAATACAAGTTATCAGTGATGGTAATTTATTAAGTTAAAAAATTGTAAAGACCATATCGTTTTGAGTAAAAAATTTAAAATTTAGAATTGATAACATAATTGAGAAGGAAGCGAAGCTACCATCTATAAGAATTAAAAGTTATATTTTCTCAATTTTTTTTATAACCAAAACGATGTTTAAGTCCAATAATTAAGAAAGAAGCAACATGTAGCAACTTTTGGCCAACCTCAGTTTCAACTAACTTCAATTTTGCCTAAAATTGTGTTTGCAAATTAATTCTACCTAAACCACAATTTTGGCAAACGCAAAACTAAACAGGAAAATATTTTCCTCTTTATATTAAAATTGGACGGTTCCGATTTATGGTTATAGGACATTGTCCTTGTCAATTCTTTAAAAACAAATTCATTTTTTTTAAACACATAAAGAAGTATCTTGTTGGTGCTTTGTTTTTATCTATTAGTCTCTTTCAAATATATACATAGAGATGGTAAAATAAATGAGTTCAGTCATGTATTCTAGAGTAGTTTTAGTGTCCATGTGCTACTATAAAATTTTTTTGAATAACTATAAAATATTTATTTTACTATTATTATTACTTTGTTAAAATTATTGTTTTCTTTTTTCTTTTCTTTTTCTTTTTTGCAACAGCTGTTAGTTGCACTAGCGAGTGCCTATAGGCATGAAGGTCCAAAAGTGAGAGATGAGATTGCAAAATCAGAAGCCCAAGCCCTTCATGTCAAAAAGAATAATGGGCCACATAAGCCCATCATTGAAGATGATGAAGTCATAAGGATTTTATCTACAAGAAGCAAGGCTCATATTCTAGCCATCTACAAACATTATCATGAGATGTTTGGCAAGTACCTTGATGAGGTATTATATTATACATGCTCTACTTAGAAGTATGAATTTCATGTTTTGTATAGCATCTGATATTTTCTGAATTTTTCATAAAAAAATGACAGTTAAGTCCAAAAAAAAAAAGACAGTTAAATTCTTGATATATCACTTTTTTTAAAAATAAATTACAAATATTGATTGAAATAGTTGTAGATTTAAGAATTCTAGTTACAAATAAGACATTTTAATTCCAAACATGACTCTTAATTTGCAGTTGAATTCCCGTTTGCAATTGATTGAAGCAATATTTATAATTTGTTTTTCAAAAAAAATTTCAGATCTAACTATAATAAATTTCCTATTCTAGAACTTTATTATCATTTCTCCTATTTTTATATTATACTTCTTCCAGTCCTTTCTATAAGGATGCTTTTAGAATATTTGTTTGGTACTTAACATAAATTGTTTTACAAATTGACTAGATCTTTGACGTTTTTATTTAATTCAAAATGCCATATGTCAGGAATAATTGAAAAAATAAATAACATTGGCAATTATGAATTACCTTCATTAAATGTGGGTAATTTGAAAAAAAAAAACCAAATTCAAAACTTCTTTTATTGGGTTAACCAATTCTAACCATATCAACCTTTATAAGAAGATTAACCATGTAGATATTGCACCATAAATTCTTGATTTTAAGCTTTATTTTGAAGATTTTTTAATTACTGATTAATACCTCATTGCCATTGAGAAGGATCTTGAGGATCCGAGGTTGAAAGAGACTGTGCAATGTCTTTGTGCTCCTCAAACTTACTTCTGCAAGGTAAGATACATCTTCCAATTAATTAATTAGGTTGGTCTCTCTCTCTCTCTCTCTCTACGAGTTTAAAGATATATAAATTCAAGATTGAAGTTTGAATCATGTTTAAATAACCTCTGTAGTGTTTGAAACTTGACAAACAAAACCTATTAAATCTTGAGCTATATGCAAATATAATCTGTCCCTGTGTAAAACTGTAAATATTACACTTTGTTAGTGAATTAAGTCGAATATATAACTTAATGACATACAAACTCAAAATTCTTGGATGGTTCATGATTGTGTTTTACATGTTAGGTTTACACCTAGTTCATCAAATTTGAGGAAATTTTGTATAATTGACCATAAATTTATTAGCTGATTAATAATAATAGAGGCTTAAGGTTTACTTTATTCAGTCTTATTTATAAGTCATTTTCAACATATTTCACTGAAATAAAGGAAAATCTTAAACCTCATTATTCTTTATAAAAACTAAGTTTTCAACTTTTCCCTTATTAAATATATTTTCTTTTACCAACATTTAATGGGATGAAAGTAGAAATTTTGTGATAAAAGAAAATAAAATGTCTTATAAACATGATAAAAAAATTCCTTCTCTTTCTATCTTATAAATAGTATCAAATTTTCCAAGGAGGCAAAGTAATTTAACTTGCACATAATCCAGAAATTAAGAGAATTGTTTATATAACTTAATAAAAAATATTATCTCTCTGTGATTATTTTATTGATTTTTTTTGCCCCCTCAGGCTCTGGATACAGCAATGAGAGCAGAAGATAAGAACATAAAGAAGGCATTGACGCGCGTGATAGTTACAAGAGCTGATATAGACATGAACAAGATCACACAAGAGTACCATAAGCATCATGGAGTTTCTTTATCCCAGAAAATTGCAGAGGTGACAAAGGGAAACTACAAGGATTTCTTACTAGCTTTGATTGCAAGAGGAGAGTAATTAAAAATTTTATATTTTTTAATTAAAAAAACAAAGTTGGTGGTCTTTGTTTGACTTGTGAAAAATAAGCTTCGGTTTGTATTCCTTGAGCTTGCATGCCATGGATAGTACCATTTGTATTGGACTTGATGTCTTTGTTTTTTATCATCATCATTATCTTTGACTTTCATCTATATGCTCTTGAGATAGTTTTAGTCAATACAATTCAATCTATTCTTGATTGAAGAAACAATATTATATTGTCTCATTTTCAATTTTGCATTGACAAAAGCTTACCTAAATATATAAACAATATCATTGAATGTGACTAATAAATAAAATTGAATAGTATACGTGGCAGGGTGAACCATGCAGTTGTACATTTAGCAATCTAGACTAGATTAACTAACTATATAGTATAGTGGCAACCTAAGCCATCTCCCAAAGAGGTGTTTAAAAATTAAATCCAGAGCTTCCTAATGCAATTAAATTAAAATAAAAATATCAAGAATTGATTGATTTTAATTGATTTAAACTAAATACTAATTAGCCTAATTAAAAAATAAAAACTTAAGCTAATGAGTTTGTGAAAATGGGATGGAATAGGGTACTTGGAGTTAGATTAATGCTCAAATCCTAACTACTTATGAAATGTAAATTAGCCACCCTTAATTCTTCTTTTCCTAACCAAATTATGAAGCCACTAGGATAATTTTCTCTAGCAACTTAACTTCACTAGGGACCCTAATTAAGCCCAGGATTTTAGAGCCCAATTCAACTCTCTAATTTAGTTTTAGGCCCAAGTTAGGTGATTAATAGCAAATTCCATCAGGTATGTTCAGCCCCTTACAATTCAAATGACTTCCAAAATTATGGTAGATCACAAACAAGGCCAACAAACACTTCTTAAGATTATGATGAAGCATAAGCTAGATAAAACACTCAAGAACATTCAAAATTATGACACATTCAAGAGTGGTTGAAATATATAGCTCAACATACCAAATGAAATTTAACAATAATCAAATCAATGTACATACAAAAACATCAACCAAGATCATGGTTGAAAAGCCAAGACATGGCAACCCAATATTATGGTCTTACAAGTCTATTGATGGATAAAAATTAAGAGAAAAATAAAAGGGTTATAAAATTAAACACTCAAGTAGTTCATTGAGCTTTCATCCTCCTCCAAGCACCCAAAATGATTTAGCCTTCAAGGTTCTTCAAGTCCTCCATGGAAATAGCAAAGTGGCCAAACCCCTCCATGGAACCAAGTAGAGAATGAAGCATGAAATGGATGATCAAGTGGTAGGGATGTGTAGAGGGGAGTGAGAGGAGAAGAATAGGAGTGGTTTGGTGATAATCCAATGGTTAGATGAAGAGAAATGAAGGAGAGAAGGGGGTTGCCATGGCTAGAAAAATGATAGAATGTGAAGAACAATGAAGAACAAGAGAGAATGTAAAATGAAAATGAAGGAGGTGGTGAGAGATTGTGTGTGGTGGTTAGGGTTAATGTTTTTGGTGGAAAAGGAGCTGAAAGGGGCGTGCATTCCAGCTGCAAAATAAGAAAAAAAATAAAACAAAATGGAAAAGAAAAAGCTAGAGTGAGACACACACCTCTCACATGCTTTAATATGTGGCTTTCTCTGATTGGCTTAAAGGAAATATTCTAAGTGAGAATATTTTCATTCATTTCATCAAAGGATTTGATTATTTTCTCCCTTTTCAGCCCCAAAATGATGCCACATTTTTCCTTTTTAGTCCTCTTTCATAAAATCAAATCAGCATGTGCAAAATGATCCTTGACCAGTTGCAAAATGTCCAAGTCAGCATGTGCTACTTACGTCACAAAATGTACATAAAATCAAAATCAAATATTCATGTGACCTAATCAATAAAGTCTTGCACATGAAATTAATTAACTAGCATGGAAGAATATTAATGAATTAAAATCAAATCATGTATGCACATAAAACCCTAATTCGGTCAACAAAGTCAATAACTTTGAAATGTGATTTTTATTTTATAACTCTCAAATCAAATTGAATTTTGAAAAATTAATTTCATATTCATTTTTCTGGGTATAAAACACATGGAACACAATATTAACCCAATTTTTCATAGAAAGTGCAATTTTGGACTAAAATACTCCTAGTATACAATTTTGCCCTTTTAGGTGATTTTCTTGCTTTTGACACCCTGAATGCATCAAAATGGAGAATAAAACATGTAAAATGGATCCTAAATAAATGAATAAAGTGTGTAAAATATGAATCTCATCACAGGGTGGCATACGTTATAGACTATACCTCAAATAGTTGTTTTTTAACTTTTAAGTGTACTCTAGAAAGATCGTCTTCTTTGGACACTCCGTTTCTTTTGGGCAAAATATATAATGCAGTTAAACAAGTATGTTACATGTGCTCTTTAAAAGCCAATTCGAACATCTCATTTCGGGAGAATAACAGTTAGCTTCCAAAGGATTAAATTATTGAGAGTTAGGTTCCTGACAAAGTTTTTTAAAAATTGAATTGTAAATATCAATTCAAATAGTTATAAATAAAAATTCTTACTACAATCTAAAAGTTACATTTGATGTTTAAATATTTATTTGCAATTGAAATTTTTGGATTTGTAATTATTTTGAATCAATATTTTCAATTTATTTTTAAAAGACAAAATTTGTTTAGGACTTAACTGTCATTAATTTAATATTTTAAGATTTAACTGTTATTTTTCTCCTTATTTATAACAAAAACATCACCATCATCATCTCTCTGTTTTAACGTTGTTGAGGATAGAAGGAAATGAAGTTGAATCATATTAAGCATTGAATTATTTTTTCCTTCATTTGCACTGGACTTATCAGCTTTGCCAAATCCAAAATACCCATCCATATCATATATTTGTCACATTCGGCTTATTTACAATTTTTCTTGGTTACCAAATCCAAAATACCCATCCATATCATATATTTGTCACATTCGGCTTATTTACAATTTTTCTTGGTTAAGTTATATACTTTTATTCTTAGTTTGTTTTTAAATTTAGTTTACGGGCCTCTTTTGTGATTTAAATTGCCATGTTCAACTTCTCCTATAAGTTGTTAATTATATTTTTTTCCCCCTGAAAGAAACTGAAAACTGAAAACCATATGTTCAAAGCAGAACGTCAACTTGGATTAATAAAGAAACATTTCCCTTGTAAAACTATATATATATATATATATATCAATGAAGGGTTAGAAGGACATGAGCTCTAACTTACCTTAATTTCATTTTTCCATTTTATTTTATTTCAATTTGAAGCCTTAAGCCTTAAGTTAATTTACTTTCAATTTTACTCCTTCGATCCTTTAATTTCATTTAATTTCAATTGATCTCCTAGTTTTACCCTCATATATTGTATTTTTTCGCAATATTTTTAATTTAACCACTAATATTTCTTTTTGACTTCTCATAGTCACATGTATCTTCTATTAGAGACAATTCCGTTTAAATCACAATCAGATGCTAAATGTGAGGATTTTTCTCAACAGGACCACTACTATTTCTTTAAATATATTTGGACAATTTTTCTGTGATATTATTACATGAAAAATAACATAATTCATGTGAGTTATTGTGGGTAAAACAAAGTGAAATCGTTAATCATTTGGATTAGAAAAATTATTTTAAAAAGGAAACTAATGCACACGCAAAACTGATTCTAGAAATGAATTATTAGACCCCGTTTCACCCCAAAAATTAAAAAAAAATCTTAGAATTGACAAAGGCCAAGTAATTAGTGGATACTCCATTATTAATAAACATTGAAGGAGGTCATTAAAGTTGACATAGCTAGACCAAGACATACACTCTGAAACTGTCAAATAAACAAATTAAAGAGAACACCCTAACAAACATAAGACTCAAACTCATGTGTAGATACCTTTTAGAAACAGTACATCGGTGAAAAATTCTTGTCTTAATACATGATTTAATCACTTAGAACCTGTTTGGTTGTTGAAAAGGAATAGAATGGCCGGGTTGGTAGAGAAAGAATTGAGTAAAATAAGGTAGATTGATAGAGAGTTGGAAATGACAGAGACATGTATGAGAGTATTAGAGTGATAATTCTCACCTTTTTGTCATTGTTACCCCTATCAATTGATAATCTTATTTAGTCCATTTTATTATCTATCAACCCAGTCCATTTCATTTATTTTCAACAACGATCGAATCCGGCGGTTAATTGTTTTGACCTAAGAGGGTGAGGAGGAATTTCTTGTAGTCGCCAGAATGTTCTTTGGAGATTGCATGCTCAAGATGGACACTGTTTCTCTTGTAATAAAGCTCTTTGATGTCCTTTAGGTCTCTCTCAGCTCTTGTCACCACCACACGAGTCACTGCATCTTCATGATCACTTCCAATTCTTTTGATTGCATTCCTCAAAGCCTACATAACACACACACACACACACACACACACACAAAATATTAATGTTCTTATAATTTTCTTGGGAAAATTCATTATTATTCTTGCTTGATAGTGAAATTAATAGAGAGATTTGGGACTAAGATGAGAATGGAATATATATATCTGACCTTTTCATAGTACTTGTGACGATCATTGATGCAACGAATTGCTGTGTGCAATGCCTTGCTGAAGTCATCTGATGCTTCATCCAACAGTTTCTACACATATATCATAGAAAGAAAATGGAATTACACCTAAACTCTCAAATATTTAAAATAAAATAATTTTTTAAAAAAATTTGATGAATAGAGAGTCACATAAATTGTAATCGTTGTTTTATTGGATCATTTACAATAATTTAGTTTTTTTAAAACATCTAACTATATATGTTTCCCTTTGTATTGCACAAATAGAGACAGTGACTTGTAATATTCATCACTCATAAATACAATTATATATAAATATGTTTTCTCGTACATTGTATTCGTATAATCATAGTATTGAAATCTTTGGCCAAAAAAAAAAAGTATTGAAATCTGTATCAACTTGACCAGCTAATGAACCTATGTTTTGATCGGTTCAGTGAAATTAATGTTTTGTTTATGATTAGTGTAACCACAATTCAACAATGTTTTGTTTATGATTAGTTTAACCACAATTCAACAACGATTTTGATCATTATTTTTTGAATTAGTTTAAAGACTGGTTCAATAAAAAACCTGTGTTTTGACCAGTTAATTATTATGTACTACATCGAAGCTTATATATATATATATATATAAGAAAAAAAATGATAATAGGTTCGGATGTGATTTCGTATATATGTTACACAGAGGTCTAATGATTGAGCATTATCATTCATGGTCTATATTGTAAATTAAAACTAGTTAGATTATACTCCCTTTACCCCAAATTATATGACACTTTCAGACAAAATCTAACATACTAATAAATCTCATTAAATATACCTAAAAACGTTATCTTTTTAAAATAAAAATATAAACTTCTCAAAATACCCATAATTTAATATAATGAAAAGAGAAGTGATGAAAATTAATTATAGAGAGAGAGAAAGTGTAATATTGAAATTAGAGCATTTAATATACCTTAAGTGTCTTATATTTTGGGATGAAAAAATTTCTTCAAAAGTGTCCTATAATTTGGGATGGAGGGAGTATATATAAATTTGATTTTGCCAAATAATAATAAAGACAAAAGGAAGAAAGTAATTAATTACTACCTTGGAGATGGAAGTGGCATGGAGGTCTCTATAGCGATTAAAAGTGGCGACAAGTTGAGTTTTGGATCTGGTGGTGATGATCCTTATGACTTCTTCATAGTTAGCTTTATTGCTTTTGATGGTATCATGCAGAATTTCTGCTTCACTTTCTGCCAATTTTCCATTTATCTCATCTCCTCCATGCCTATATGAGCTCACCAACCCCACCAGTAGCTGCACCATTATATTATTCCAAACCAAACACATTCTCACATACACTACTTTTAATTTAATTATATAACTTAATTATTTGGATTTTAATACTAGTCTTTTAATTTTTTTTACTTTGTTTAAATAAAATAATTGTAAAAATATTTTATAGTAAAATTGTTAATACCAACAATAATAATTAAATACAGTATGGAATCGTAATTTCTTTAAAAAGAAAAAATTCTGAAAATATCATTAGGGGGGGGAGAGAGATATTTAAGAGTGAAATAATGAGAAGTAATTTTGAAATAAATTCTATTAATGGTTGATATTTTAAAAAATATCTTTTATTATGAAACATCTAATGACTCTAAAAAATATCTTATGAAATATGAGGGAGTATGTACAATAAGATTTTCTCCCGAGGACAGAATTAATTAGAGGAAAAATTAGAGAAAAGAACCTATTAAACAAATTAATTGAAAATAGGACATGATTTGTAAGAACATGGAAGAAAAAGTGCAGGATCATAGAAATTAAATGTAGAATGTGGAAGAAAAATTGCAGATTTTGGATCTAGTCCTTTTTCTGAATTAATTTGCTTTTTTTGGTTCTTTTCCACAATTTTACCTCGATTAGATCCTTTAAAGGCCATTCAATAGAATGCTTTTTAGGGTTAAAGATCATTTTTTTTAAACTATTTTTGAGGAGCACTAGGTACTAAAGGATGATATAATATTCTCCATAAATAATTTTTTCGAAGGAAAAAATTGCCCTTCTATCATATACTTGTCATCTTCTCCATTTTTTGTTGATGTGAAATAGTTGTGAAGTGACAACAAAGCATTTAGACTTATTTTGTCACTGTTTCACAGCTAAAATAAGTCGGTTCTTGCCATTTCTACTGTTATTTTCAACTCTTTTATCCCACATTAGATGTTCAAAATATGTCAAAATGCTTTGCTATAACTATGCATGAATCCTACAAGTATTCACATAAGCATATATAAAAAAAAGAAGATGACAGATTTATAATTATTTAAGGAGGCTGATATTGCTCTACCCTTTATTAGCCTAGCGTTCCTACAAAAAAGTTTAGGAGGAAAAGTAATTATCAACCCTAATTGTTAATTAAGAAAAAGCTTAATTAGTACGGTTAATAATGATTAAATGTTATAGAAATATGTCAAATAAAAATTGTCCATATACGTGCCTGACGAAGATGGCCAGAGGTAAAAGCAGCGACGTCTTCTTCCAAAGAAGACTTGTATCGACTGTGATAGGCTCTTCTCACCACCAACAACTCTTCCGGCGAGTGAACAGAAGCGATTTCCACAATCACGTTGTAATCCACGTTCTTCCGTTTCTTTATCGCCACGTTACACAACACTGCCTCTCTATCTGCTGGCCCCAATATCCACCGATACACTGCTTTCTGCTTCCAACAATCAATTATACATTCATAATCAACTTCAATTAAGTACGTACGTGTTTGTTTTAGTTTATAATATATCAAAAGAAAATCCAAAGAAGAACAGAGAACCTCGAAGTCGCCGGAGAGCTCGGATTCGAGGCGTTTGAGGAGATCTTCATGGTAGAGTTGTTGATAGGCTTCTCTGATTTGCTGCCTCTGATGAGCATTTCTGTGACCCAACACTGCTATAATCCCCTTCTCATTAGTCCCCCATCCTACAAAACCACACAAAATATATAATAGTAATAAGTTTTTTGCTTTGACAGATTCAATGAATTATAAAAAACAGATTCGATTCGATTCGATTCCGTTCGTACCTTTGACAGCTTTTCGAAGAGCTTCTGCGTCTTCGTTTGGAGAATGGTCGGTAGGGGCAACAAGCGTAGCCATGGTTTAATTTCTCAGTGGTTGGTCGGTAGGAGCTTCTGCGTCTTCTGCGTCTTCGTTTGGAGATCTCTATTTTCGTTAAATTTGCAATCTTCTTTGGAGGGCTTCTTTATATAAAGTCATTCCCTAGGCTTACTCTTGCTAACGGAATAAAATAAGGTAAAGTGTTGTGTTTAGATTAATAGGAATTTAAATTTAAATTTGGATTTGAGTGAAATTCTCCATTTGGATACATAAAAAAGTTATGAATTTGGATTTCATGCAAGTCTAAATTTAAATTTAAATTCATGTTTTCTTTATCATTTTAAGTTCTCCATGTACGATAGTTATTTAAAATTTTTTTCACTCTTGCCCTCTCATTCTCTTTGCATTTTCATTGTTGGTGCCTTTGTCGTTCTCGCTTCTTTTCTTGTATATTGTTCTTTTATCTTGCCAATTGAATAATGGAGATCAGCTTGTTTTGTTACTTTTAATATTTTGTTTTTACTTCAAATATGATCTTAGCTTGTCTCTGTTTTTTTTTTGGAAAATATTTTACGTTATCCGAACAAAGAATTTTAAATATATAAATTTTAAAAGTAATATTGTAAATGTAAAATATTCTAAATTTATCAATGTAAACAACACTTAAAAGAATTTTATATTAGACAGAAATAATAGATTTAATAGAGGATTATGTGGAAATGACATGCTACTTATTACAAGTTTTGGAGATGTGTGGTTATCTTCACTGATTTTTGTCTTGCAATTTTTAATCAAGGATAAGGATGAAGTTCAAACTTACATATTTTACAGACAATTGTCCAATAAAAAGGCCTAATAAATAGATCCAAAGGTTTCTTAGAAGTTCAGTATCTTATATAAAACTATTTTTTTTAATTTGTGATTCCCTTGATTTTAATGTATTAAATCGTAAAAAGAAAATAGAAAAGTAATATATTAAATGGTAAAAATTAAAGTTATGGGAATTTGCATATTAGACGGGGATTCCTATTAATAAATAAATAATAAAATACTAATTAATACCCATTACCCAGTTTAGGTCATGAAAATCTTGATGCTCAGATTTACTTAGAAAGTCATTTCCCCTTTTTTCCCCTTTTTTTTTTTGATGCCATAGGTTAGAGAAAAAAGATTTTTTTTTAAAAAAAACAAACTCAAATTTAGAAATCATGAAACCATGGGTATGATAAATTAGCTAGCATGTAGACCACTGGAATGTGATTACATACACCGCAATATAATCCCACCATATGCAAAAGCAATATATTAATATATAATCAACTTTTAATATTTATAATACAAAATTTATAAAATGTTACATTATTTATAAATCATGAATCATGTAATTCCTTTTAAAGATTTTGCAAATATACGTAAGTCATATATATCTTTGTGATGGGAAATTAAAGGTACTCATAACACCAGGAAAATAAAACTCTGCTTTCATTTATATTTATTCTGTCAAATATTAAAATATTGAGATTCTCCCCTTCTGTTATTTCTTCCAAGTTCCAATTTTACATAGCAACCCATACTGAAAAGGAGGGGTTTATTCTAGCTACCTTCCCAAATTAATTCTTCGCTTTTTTTAAAACCTTTTTTTGTATACATTTTTATTCATTATTTCCTCCAATTTTTTTTTTATAAAAGAAACAAATAATTGAATTACACAAACCCATGAATACAATTAAAATCAATAAATATGTTTGAGATTTATTTATTAAAAAATATACATATTGGTTGTTTGACATGATGACTATGTATTTAGTGATGCTAAAAGGGAAAGTATTTTAAATATTTGGTGGCCAACAGTAAAAAGTATTTTTTTTTTGGACTGTATCTTAAATACACATGACAATGGATATATAGTTAGTTTCTTATATATAAGGCAAAAAAATATTCTCAATAGTTTTCTTATAAAGAGGTCCAAGAGGAAGTATCAAATTATCTCAAAAGAAAGAATTTCATTTTGTTCTAAAGTTTATCTTTATATATAGCGATAAAATGATGTGATACATAATTCTTGAAGTATAAAACAAAACAAGGTATATACATTGAAGTAAATTAACATTGGGAAAGTTCCACTGAGCTGTATTTATTGTTAATGTCGACCTACTTAGCTTAATTTATAAGTAATATTTTATGTATATTTTCGTTTAGATAACAACTCTAGGAGAAGATTATATTATAGCGCACTAGAAAACAACTGCATATATACTGTTCAATGTAGAAATTAACAATTCAATTCTCTTTAATATTATAGGATATTTGACATCTTTATAGTCATTTCTAGAGGCAATGTCCAGCTAGAAAAATATTATTTCATGGACTACTTTTTACAAGAAGATAAAGCTATCTTGTTAACAGAATAAATAATTCTTCTAAAAGCTTAAATTTTTCACAAAAAATTATTAGATTGATGATCATGAAAATTGTAATTATATTAAAAGGAAATAAGATTAAAATTAAACTTTCATACTATTTTAAAACATTTTAACTTAAAAATTTACTGACAAAAATACTTGAAAATTGAAAATGTTAACTTTTAAACTAAAGTATGATTTTCATAAAAACAAATCTGATAATAGAGCTTGTAAAATTAAATGTTAAATTTAATATTTGAGGCTAATCATATTCTTTTGGATAATTTAATGTAATTTGAATATTTTCACAAATAAAATTTTTAAATGTTTTCCCCCTAAAATTAACGATCTGTGATGGCCCCACAATAAAATGGTGACCTAACGTTCAAGTGGTTTAGTTAGAACTTTTTGGCACTCACAAGCTTAGCGATGAAACTAATCAAGTTGGGGTGGTTTACCAACTTCTTGTATTTGTATTGGCGTGCCATCCATCTCCATTAAATCTTTTTTATTTTGCTGGTTACAAGGTACAAAGATCATGTTACATAATCAAAAACTGCTTCCAGAGGCAGGCGAAAGTTACATCCATTAATTATTAATTTTTAATGAATAATATCAATATTATAAAGCAATTCAAATCAATGAAAGCATTGAAAAAAAATCCAATTCAAGACAAGCATGTTGATCACCAAAAAAAAAAAAAAACCTCATGCCAACTGTTGTCCAATTCATCACACATACAAAAATGTGTACATCCACTAATAATACTTCTCCATATACATTGATTTAAGGGTCAATAGTCAGAATGTAATTGAGCCAAACCAGCTATAATTAATTTAATATTTTTAAATAATATATTAAATTATAAAATAAATTTCTTCCTACCCATAAAAAAATATTTAAATAGAGGAATATTCAACCAAAAGATAAAAAAGTTGTAAATAATTAATAATTCATGTTTTAATTTATTTGAAAGAATAAAAATATATTCAGCAGGTTTCTTCGTCTCTATTTTCATGGGCATGAATAACATATAGATTTTCATACATATCAAATAACACTTGATAATATTAATTTGATTTTTTTTTTTCAAAATCATTTATCCTAAGTTAACAATCTAGATCTATTTGATTGACAAGGGAAGTACTATTAGTGTGGATGAAGATGTAACATCCCAAAAATTTAACTTAGGATTAATTAAGATAATTGAGGACAAAATGGTACATTGAGGATTAATTATGGTAAGAAATGATTAGCAAATAACTAATGAGCATGACCGATCTTTGGATATATAGGTTTGGATTTGCGCTAGAGTGTGTTTTGAACCTTTTGGGCCCAAATGGAGAAGCTTAAATCCAGATGTAGCTCACTGTGTCATTCGTTGTGATGTATGGCACATCTGCACTGCAGCAGATGCTCCAAATCTGATATAATTAGATTCACTGAAACGGTCAAAAATAGAAGAAAGAACAAGAGGGCGAGAGAGACAATGTGTGGAGCTGCTAGGTCTTGAGGCTTTCGACTCTTTGCGGCTATTTAGAGCTAGAAAACACTTGGGTGAGCTTCTAATTAATCATCTTCTTTTCCCTCTCTAACTAGATTTTCTATTGGTTTATTGTTGTTAGGTGGCGGATTCCGAAATGGGGGTGGTTTTTTTTTTATAACATTATAGTCCCCAGGCCCCGTTGTTGGCTATTATATTTAATGCGAAAGTAATTAATTTGATTATTTATGCGACTGTTGAACTGGTTAGGAAACTGTTTTGGTTCGTTGTGGAACAGAAATAGAGTATGAGTGGTTTTGGGAAAATTAAATAAGCGTAGATCAGAGAGGGAATTTGTAAACAGAGGAATTCTCGACCGTTTGCGGACGTAAACGGAGGTGGCATTGGACTTTGTTTTTAATTAGTTTTGGCCATTATGCCATGACTTAGGAAATTTGGATTTATTTTGTCTAAATTTTAGTGTTCGGAAATTGTTTATTGTTAACTTTTGGAAATTTATGTCATTTCAGAACATTTTCTTACACTGCCATATACTTTTTTTGGTTCAAATGTGAATACTTTGGATACAAATATAGGAAAATGAGCTTTGGTTGAACTAAGCTTTGGTGATAGGGTATATTGGGAATTTTTATAAAAATCTTGCCTTAGTTTCATCTTTGAAAAATCTCATATTTGTTTTTGTAGTTTTAGGTGACCTTTAATGGGCAATTATGCTAACAGAGAGCTAAGTGGAGCTTAAGAATGAAATTTGACGCATAAGGTGGCAAGCATTGGACAAGAAAATGAAGAGTTAACTCTTTGTGCCATATATCATGATGCATGCACAATCAACCACAACAAATGACATAGAGATAGGAGATTTCAAACTGCATGTGCGCCGTCTCAACGCATTAACCATATGTCATGACACATGACACATAAATTATCCACAATGGCAGATGGATAGTTAGCCATTGCAGATGATGCAAACTTGTTGCTATGCATTTTGAGCTGTTGAACGAAAATTAAGATTAATTAAGCTCATTTCCATAATTTTAGACAGACACACATGAATTCCAGAGGTCTGGGGCTCAAGTTCTGCTAAGGTTTGGGGTCCTTGAAAGAGATTAAACCAATGATTGAAGATTTGAAGATATTCAAGTGGATTTCTTTCATTTTTTTTTAGTTTTTCTTCCTTTTGCTCTCTTGTTTATGACATCGATGCTGAACATTTTGTTGTTTTAGCTCTTTTCTTAACACGAGTAGATAGTTTTCTTGTTCTAAGACTATTTTAAATCTTGATATGGATTATTTTAAGACTTGACTATTCCTCTTGTTTGATAGCTAATGTTATATATGTGTCTATTTTATCCTTTATTTAATACTTTTAAGTGTTTGATCACCATTTAGATTGTTATGTTCATTTGGGTTATGCTTGAGAAAGCTAATTTCGATGTAAAACTTGAATAAAATAGTGTTGGGCTTAAAATTTACAAAGAAAAATGGTTAGTCTTATTGGTAAAATAGAGATATTTTACTAGCAATTCATGGTCAACTTAAGATTGGGGCCTCAAATTTGTTTTCATTAATTATTTTTTGAGAAATTGAGAATTTTTAATGCTAGAAAAAATATTTAATTTTGCTTGAGAAAGCTTTTTCAAGTAAATTAGAATCTTATGCTAACACTTATTTTCTTTAAAAATCTTTTTGAGAGAGGACTTAATTTAAGTTTTATGAAATACAAAGGGGAGAGATAATTCTAGGTCCTATTCTCTTAAATTCAAAGTTTTAATCAATTCTCACTTACTTTACAACAATTTTCACTTTATTTTATGTTACTTTTACATGAATTTGATACTTGATTTTATTCAACTAATTCAAGGTTAAATAATGAATTTTAACTCTCCTTTGCTTTAATCCTCGTAGGAATGATATTTTTTTTTGAAAACTTTACTGCTTGTGATAACTCGTGCGCTTGTGGTAACGCTTGATGACGAACATTTATTTCTAGTCCGTAAATATTTATTTTATTTGCTTATTGAGTTGAACTTTTAATGAAGGTTGTGCCCAAAGGTAGCTATCTCTAAGTTGAAATATTATTAGGACCTTTAGATGGACATTTATTAAATATTTTGGGTTCCCGATGTTTTATATATGAATTTTTATTAAGTTTTGTGTAGTAAAGTAGAGTGTGTGTTATAGTTTTCACCGATAATAGGAGTTTGTTTAATTTCTAAAATTGGGTTATGGATTTTAGGATGGTTTTGGGTTGTGATGGCGAGTTTTGACCAAACCCTTAGTAGTAATTGATGATTTGAGGGCAATGTAGTAAGGGTATTCAAAAGCAATGCAAATTGATTACACCAAATCAAACCGATACAAAGCAATTACAAATAAGCTTTGGTTTGGTTTTTTTTGGACAAAATCAATTGGTTTGGCTCAGTTCAGGTTTTTACCTATTGAAACATCAACCAAATTAAACTAAGTCTTTATTATATTTTTATTATAAAATTTTCCTAAGTCTTTTTCTCTTTTCCAAGTTTTTCCCCTACAAATAGATAAATGTTGTCTATAATTGTTTATGATAATTTTTAAATTTTATAATTAATTGTTTTACTGATAATATATTGGTTTTTGATAGTTAAATGTGCATTAAAAAATATTTTTGTCCTCAAGAGTTTTTTTTAAATAGTAATTAATAGTTAAAAAATATAAATGAATACGTGTGTGTGCATATATATTGATCTGAATAAAATATATATTGATTATGAATCAAATTTGATCTAAACCTGAATCAAATCAATTAGAAGAAAAAACCGAATAAGTCCTAAATTTTGGCGAACCAATTGATTTGGTAAAAGCCAAATCCAAATCAAACCAAACCTATGAACACTTGAATGTAGTAGTTCAAAGAGGATATTTGGACTAATGAGAATTTGTTAAGGGAAAATCACACTTAGGTTCCTTGTAAGGATTTTAATTACTAAGAGGTCTTATGAAATGCACAAAACATTTTCAAGTCTCAATTCTTGAACATTTACAACTTAACAGAAGACATTTACAACTTGGCATAGGAAAATGACAACTTGATATTAAACTCATACCCAAGTTGTCATTTTCTTTTGCCAGATTGATTTGGGACTTGTGAGTAGTTTGTACATTTCATAGGACCTTTTGATAAATAAATTTGTTCTATGGAATCTAGATGTGATTTTCTATTAACGTTTACTTAAGCTAATGGACAGTAGAAATGGATTTAATTGTGAGAGATAGTGAATTTTGGGAATTTTTGAATTAATCAAATTGCTAGAATTCATTGAAAATGTTGATCATTGATGAAAAAGGTGTGGAATGTAGAGTGACACATTTTGGAATTCTTGGGCAAGAAGAAGGCTCGAGATGTTGTCTACGATGGGTAAAATTGGTAAATCTAAGGGTTAAGTTAGTTAATCAAAAACCTAATTCTCTCTCTATACATGCTTGATATGTTTGTGAGAATTGTGAAATGTATAAATCTAGCATTTTCTTATGAAAATGATATATCTTGTTTTGGAAAATTTATGTAAAGTACCTCAATTATGCAATGCTCAATTTTGTGAAGTTAAGCATCAAACTATATATGTTTAGGCATGATTACATGATTATAGGTTGGAGTTCACCCTAGGGGAAGAAACTTATATCCACATGGAACTATACCAACATCACAAGTGACCCTAATGTTGGATCATTGCCTTGTATTACCATTTTCCTATTGGAATTGGTATGGGTTGGGCATATAACACCCTTTAATTCAGATAATGAGAATTCATGTTTTGAGAGTAAGCGCGATAGCTTATGCCAGACTACCTCGCACAATTGGAAAACTAATTGGGCTAGACCAGTCATACATAGACTAGTCCTATATTTATACTATTAGTTAATTGATTCAGAAGAATTTGGAGGATATAAAAGTGGAGTTGCATGATCATGTATTGGATTATGGTTTTTTAACTTGCTTGAGTGATTTGGCATGTTGTTTGTGAATATGACCACTTTCATGTGATTGAAGTGGTTATCTGATTGTTGAGATTGATTTCATTCTCGTGAATAAACATTTTGCTGGAGGAGATCCGACATGCGCACACACTCAAGCAACTAGAGGTAATAGTAAGATACACTTCCACTCTGATCCGAGTGAAGTTTCGCGTCCAGCATAGTCATTGTCGAGCTTCGAACCTCACTAGCATTGCTTCCCAGGGTTACCAAGTTCTTCGTCTTAATCTCCTTCAAAAAAAGCTCATGGGCTTGTATCTAATAAAGACACTTGATAGTTAAAATCTCATTCACGGTCGTCAGAAATGGCGACCATGTTCGCAAATTCAGAAGACACCCATCAAATGCCTAGGGGCTGTCCCTTAAAACTTGTCTCATATCCCTCTTTTATTGCTAAATAGAAGGGAAAAAAATATAAGAAAATTAATGAATTGGTCCTTAAACTTTTAAGTCGATTATGACTATCCTTCAAATTTAACTCATTGCAAGCCTGTCCCTAAAGTTTGGTTAGTTTAAAAAATTTTGTCCTTGTGGTTAGTAAACGGTGATGACTCCATAAAATATTGCTTACATGACATTCACATGAGCAACACGTCAGGTTTATGTGGCACAGCATTAAAAAAATGAAAGAAAAAAGAAACACAATTTCTGTAAACACATGAAATTGACAATTATAATGAGGGTTGATGTGGATGCCATGTAAGCAATATTTTATAGAGTAACCACCATTCACTAATGGTAGCTAGGGATGTAATTTTTAAATAAATTAAACTTTAGGGACTAAATCATAATAAGTTAAATTTGAGAATTGAAAGCCTGTTTAGATAACCTTCTACATCTAGGATGTGCTTTTATTAAATCCTACAAATAATTGGATCCTCTAAAATTTAAATGGGTTTTGAGTCGTAGCTAGATTAAAAGTTGAAGAACGTGATTAATTTTTTAGAAATAATTATCACCATTATCATTAATTATTTCAACTTTATCCTTAGTATTCCAACTCTTGAGAATCGCCTTTTCAAAAAAGACTTAATTAACCTTCTTTGATGACACCATCTTGCAAGCTAAGGGCTAATCTTTAATGTGTCTTTTTTTAATGCCTTTTATAGTGCCCCAACATGCTACCTAGCTTTATTTTTCTTTTTTTCTCCCTTGGAATCTTGGCTTTTTGATAAAATAAAATATATTCTGCTAAAAAAAGATAAAATAAAAAATATTTTGATATTTTGAAGTTCCCAAACGGTAAAATTTTGTATTTATTTTATGATTTTTTTTTTGAGAAATATTACAATTACACCTTTTTATTCTTGAAAATCATAAAAAAGAGTTGAAAAGAGAGGACGAGAAGAGGAACCAATGCAGACAAATGGAGCGGATTATCGAAAATGGATTATATTTTGAAAGCAAGAAATTAATCATTATTCTACTAAAACCAACTTGCACTAACAATTGATATAGAGAGTCCAAGTCGTCACACCCAAAAGAAAAGGGGGAAAAAAAGACATTCCCTGAGAAATGAAACAGATTCAAATGAAGAGGAAATTCGACCCAACCACACATAATTATTCATCACAGATTCCATCATTATAATTATTTGAAGAACTTAGTCTTCTTGTCCCAAAAGAGTGAGCAGAAACTTCTTGTAATATCCAGAAACTTCCTTGGCCACTGAATTCTCTAGGTGCTCACTGTTCTTCTTGTAATAAAGATCTTTAATATCCCTCAAATCCCTCTCAGCCCTGGTCACGATCACACGCGTCAATGCATCCTCATAATTCCCTATCCTCTTAGTCGCATTTCGCAGAACCTAAAGGAAATTTTACAGCTTGGTTAATCTGTTCATCTTATAACAAAAGTAATTTTCAGTGACGTCAGAATTGGACAGGACATTGAACTGATTAGGGCATTGGTTCACTAAACCATGACATATGGCTGGTTCTCGGTCTGACTAATCGAACTGACCGGTCTGAGCTAGTTCTAACAACAGTGATAATGTTGTGAATCAAAAACTTATAGTTAGAGAAGTTATTATACCTTTTCATGGTACTTTTGGTGGTCACTGATGCAATGAATGGCAGTATGCACTGCCCTGAGGAAATTATCAGATGCATCATCCAGCAATTTCTATACAAATAAAATCGATAAAAATTTTTTATAGGGAAAGATTTTAGAATAATAATAATAAATATAATGAAAATAATTACTTGACCTTAGTGATGGAAGTGCCATGATCATCTCTGTAGCGATTGAAAGTTGCAACAAGCTGAGTCTTGCTTCTGGTAGTAAGAATCCTTATAACCTCTTCATGATTGTCACTCTTATGTTTAAGAGCATCATGAAGAATGTTTGCTTCAGTTTGTGCCAACCTCGCTTTCATCTCATCACCTTCATACCTGTACGAGCTCACCAACCCTACCAAAAACTGCTCAAAATAATTAATCAACAAAGTTTATTGCTTATTGAACCTTTAAATAATACGAACCAACATCCTATATATATATAAGGTTAATTAATGTGTAGTTTTACCCTTTAGAAGCATCCGGGACTTAAACTACTTTTTGGTGCAAAGTTAACTCTTTGTTAACAATAGGAGTAACATTGCACCATTTTCAATTATCAAACGGAAATATTATACCCAAAAAAAAAAAAGTTTACAGTCCTTGACACTTCTAAGACAGAATTGCCCTTTAACCCATATATATATATATATATATATTACATTAACGAACATATATAGTTCAGTTACCAGTTAATAAGCCAGGATCTGTTAACCATTAATTGGTCTTAGATTTGAGTCCTAGGTATGCATTACACTAAAAACTCATTGGGAGATCAACTTTTCCACTCACATAGTCAACTATAAGAGTCATATTTAGTCTACCATTATTTAACATAAAACACACAAACACACCCCCCCCAACAAGAGCATATATATATCTCCCTGGTAATAAGCTAAGCTAGTTTAACCCGTAGTCTTTAGCTCGAGTATTCAGTGTTTGTGTATCTATGTTAAAAGTTCAAAGTCAATAACTTACCTGGCGAAGATAACCACTAGTATGAGCGGCAACATCTTCTTCCAAAGAATGCTTGTAACGATTGTGATAGGCTCGTCTCACAGCCAAGAGCTCTTCAGATGAATAGATGCAAGAGATTTCCACAATCATAGTGTAATCAACATTATTGCTATTTCTAATGGCCACATTTGCCAACACAGCATCTCGATCTGTTGGTTCTAATACCCATCGATACACAGCTCTCTATGTTTAATTTGCAGATTAAACTTGTAAATACACAAGTGTGGACCAAAAAAAAATGTTAACTTTAACAAATCTATAAGAAGCTATATAATAAAATACCTCAAAGTCACCAGATAGCTTAGACTCAAGGCGTTTGATGAGATTCTCTTCATAAAGTTCTTCATAAGCTTGTCTGATCTGCTGAATTTGAAAAGAATTTCTGTGACCTAATATTGCTATCGCTGCCTTCTCATCAGTGCCCCATCCCACAAAATTTTAACTCAAGATAAGTAATATTACAATTACATTCTCATGGTAACCAAACTTAAACAAAAATTTTCGCTTCTATTGCGACTGGGTCAAATAAAATGGGTTCTAAAATCAGGAGATGGTTTATAGTAATAAATACCAAACGATTTCATAAAAAAGGTTTATGGAGAAAGATCTTATACCTTTGAAGGCCTTGTGGAGAGACTCAGCATCTTGAACGGGAGAGATTTCATTAGGAGCAATCAAAGTAGCCATTGATGAAGTTGCTCCGAGCTTCCTTTTAGAAGAAAAGTGATACTATGTATTGTGGATAATTTAGGGTTTAATGGAAACCTCAATTTATAAGCCAAAATGGCTTGATTGGAATCAACGCCTGCTCATGCTTGTTATGTGTTTGAAATTTATATTATTATATAACTAATTTAATAAATAATAGTTAATTAGTATTGCTTAACTGCTAAGGTCCAATAAAGTAATAGAAAACTTGATTCCCTACTTCAATGTCTGAAGGTCCTTTCATCATGGGGTGTTTTTTTTTGTCCTTTACCTCCGGCCTTATATATAAGTTTTGTTATTTTACACGGAAAGATGCAGGAATATTATTTACTTTCTTTTCATTTTGCCCTTTCACAATTTTTAATGAGTAAGGTAGGAGATTGCATGTATACAAAAGAAAAAATGTTTTTAAAAATGATGCATTTAATAAGGGTCAATTGAAAATTTCTTTTTCTTAAATAATAAATGAATTAATTATTTCTCATTAATTCTGATGAGATAGTTAGGAGTGACTTGTATATAGGATGAAAGAGAGTAAGTACTGTGATGTACTTAATTAATTATTTTACTTTTTTATTGTTAAAAGGAAGCAATTAATATATCATTACGTCAATATACAATTTATAAAATTTACAAAAAAAGTCTAATAAAAAATTGAAATTAAAAAAAATCTCGCTTAAATGGGGATTAAGAGGAATGTTGGCGAACACAGTTGCCCTAATTTTACTGGGTAAAATAGTAAATTGTCTTTTAAGTTATAGGCCCATAGTATTTGTGATCTTAAATTTATTTTTAATACAATATTTCCTTTCAACTTTTGAAAAAGGTCTTACTATTAACAAAAAGTTAATTTTATTCATTAGTTGACTAGAAATGACCTTAAAAACTACAAAAAAGGACTAAAAATTACAGTAAATGACCTAAAAATTACAAACAATAACTCAAAAAATTAAAGAAAATGACTAAGAAAATTTTGTTGGCTTTTTTATATAATTTTTAGGTTTTTTTGAATTAATTTCTAGTAAATTAATAGTCAAAATTAACTTTTGTTAACAGTAAGAACTAAATTGCACTTTTTTAAAAATTTGAATAGGAACATTAGAATACAGATGCTCTTGGACTTATAATTTATTGGATTTGATGTTAAAGAAACCATTTTTATGTACTTTTTATCCCATAGTCTCCGTAAAAGGAAAATAAAAGAGAGAATTACATACAAGACTTACTAAAGACAATTAATTACTTCTAGTTCTACCGACCATTGAGTTTAGGAGAATGACAATAATGTATTGTCATTCTCTGAAGCTCACTGGTGAGTAGACCTATGACTAATTAATTGTCTTGAATGGGACTTGTGTGTAATTCTTTTAAACTCAGTTATCAATAGATTTAAGAGTAATTAATTGTCTTGAGTGAGACCTTGAAATAATTTTCCCAAAATAGAGTGCCCCCTTCAATTTTTTAAAAAATCTAATGTACGGAAGGAAATTAGACATTGAATAATTGAGGTTTCCAATGAAACTAGCTAATTTACAATTTGATTTTCAGTCTAATTTCCTTCCTTTCACACACTAGGTGCAACTTGATATTAAGAAATTATTTTACAAGTGTGAACGGAAGGAAACTAGACTGAAAAGCACATGAAGCATTTTGGAAGGTTGTGGTTTCATTTTGCATTAGATTAATCAATTCCACCTAATCCAAAAGCCCATTTGCATACTTTTTTGTCAGATTTGAATTTCTCCATAATTATGCTTTTTCTTTACATATTAAATCATTTGGTATCCAAATTTAATTATATTTTATTTAAGGGGAATGCAATTTATACATTGTTTTGTTATTATTCATTTATATTAAAAGTATGAATTTAATTTTTATTAAAAATTAAATTAAAAAACAATAATACTCATCTTGTCCTCCATGTGTATTTCACTTACTAGAAAGAATATATAATCCTAAATGTAGTCTATTTGCATAAGATTTCTGGGTATTAAGTGATAGTGATTTATTTTTTCTTAAAGACACACCCTTTTTACAAATTTCCAATGAGTTGTTGGGAGTTACAGGTTGAAAAAAATGAGTTTCTGGGAGTAATAAATAAGAATAACAAAATATAAAGCTAATATTCAAATATTAAATTGGAGAAATTTGTGAAAGAAATTATTTTAAATTTATGACTCAATTGACAAAGTTAACCACTTTTCTTAATGTTAAGAAGATAAGCAAAACCCGTTTTTATTAATCAATAATAAATTGTGCCTTAAACCTCGTACATGTTTGTCCCATGGCGATCACATGGGGGTCACAAGGCAATCCGAGGATTCCTAGCGTATAAAAATGCGTCTGTCTTGTAACCCTCTTACAAGTTGTTTTTACTAGAATCATGATTTAATGGGTAAATCACACCGAGGTCCTTTAGAAGAATTCTAATGACCAAAAAATCCCATGAAATATAAAAATAACTTTGAAATCCCAAGGGCTTTAATTGCAAACAAATCTTAGTGTGCATTTACCAAAATGCCCTTATTTGAAAAAAGGAAAAAAAAAAAAAAAACTCTTCCCATGGTTGCTCGCTCTCTCTGGTTGAATCCTACTTTGTAGATTAAATTCTAGTACCCAGAAAAAGAAGACCACCAAGAGGTTGTACCTTTTCAAGGAAAGAATCCCAAAGAATTCAATTTGTCATTGACATAGTGTCATCTCTGATCTCAAATCCTGTAACAAACTCTGATCAGTCACCAAGATGAGGAGAAAGAAGAAATTTGCAGCTCATCTAAAGCATTACCAAGAAGATTAATTTCAGAACCATACCACATGGAATTCTTTAGCTCAACAAATCTATACCTCCAAGCTCCAGCAAGCACTAGCTTGACTCAATATTATATTGGCAGATTTTCAACCAGCTGTGGCAGTCGAAGCTTCTTCTCACCAATTTACTGAGAGTGAGAGCCTCAAACGATGCTTGTTAGATTTTTTATATTAAGTATGCTTAAAAATAGTATACTTTACAAAAATAACTTAAGTCATTTAATTAAATATTTCCTAAGCTTATATATTTATAATCTATCTTCTAATTTTTAGATATGAGACTTCTTTTATGTTCTAATATTTCCTCTACTGCTCTTTTTTCCTCTTTTTTTTTTTCCATTTTTTTCTTCTTCTTGCCTCAGCTTATAATTTTTTTAGTCTCAAAAACTTTAGGTCTATTCAATTTCTTCTTCTTCTTCTCCTTCTCTTTCTCATTCTCCTCCTTCTCTTTTTTAATATCTTGTTTTTTTTTCATCTTTTATTCTTTCATTTTTTCTCTTTTTTTTGTTTCTTTTTTGCCCCCAATCGAATAACTAATGATACTATAACTAATGATACTATGTTAGATTTCTTATATTAAATATGCTTAAATATAGTATACTTTACCAAAATAGTTTTGGCAATTTGATTAGATACTTTCACAGTTATATATTTATAATCTATCTTCGAATCTTTATATGCGGGACTTTTTTTTATGTTCTAATAATGCCCCTGTGAAAACAAGGAATCGAGTCAGTTACAATCAAGAGAACTTGGTAAAGCTCTTACTTCTATTTCTCAAGTCACACGGTGGATATGCTATCACTCCTTCCCTCTTCGCTTCGACCTTCCCTCATAGCTCCTTCTAGGCATCTGTAGTATGGCACTCCTAGACACCTATTTAGCTTCTTCAATCTAAAATATAAGCTAAAGGCGACGATGCTCCTTGACGTGAGAAAGTGGTTCACAAGGCTGCTGATTTGTTACTACCAAAGGGAGGAGTATGTGGAGCATGGCAATTCTCACGAACCAGCTCAAGCTGAAATTTTAGGAACCAGAAAAGGAAGATGGTGGTGACGGCACGGAGGGTGGCTACCGGAAGTAGCCAATCGAGGAAGCCAAGATTGAGCTTTTGTTTGAATGAAGGGAAACTTATTTGCAATTAAAACTCTTGGGATTTTTTTTCCCATAAAAAAAAATCTTGGGATTTTAAAGTTATTTTTACATTTCATGGGACTTTTAAGTTATTAGAATTCTTTTAAGGGACATCTGAATGATTTTCTCATGATAAATTTGTCCTTGACAAAAAAATGTTTTCTTGTAATTATATGACACCTAATATTATTATTATTCATCAACACTATATATAAAAAAAATAAAATTTGAGATAGAGAAATACCAATGGATTTGGGTTTAGTCAAAGAAACAAGCACATAACGTTAAGGTAAAAATTTAAATAATTGCCGGAAGATATACTTATATTTAATATCCAATTGTGACTCGATAATGATTGCCTTTAATGAGGATTTTTGTGTGCAGGAAAATAAAGTTGAGATATAAATTTAATTAAAAAAAAGACCTATTGCAAATTGACCTTGTGAAGATTTTGCAATAGGTTGTGTCATTGCCAACAAAGGACGTAACAAAATTTTTGCAAGTATTTAATTGCAACATAAATTTATTTTATCAAAAACTCAAGACCTCAATCTTCTTTGCTGACTGAATTTCTTCTTTAATAAATCTTTAGCTTAGAGGTTTTGGTTCGATGATTGCAAAAGATGTTTGTTGTCTTCTCACCAACTTCAATGTGGTCTACACTATGAGAGATTACGCTCAGGACTAGTGCAAGCAGATGCGTGCCTCTTGTGTTTTAACTTATTCTTTTAACTTCCAGGTTGTAATGTCTTTTTTTTTAATTATCTTTTCTTTTTAGCTTCTGGTGTATTTGAAACTATTTGGTCATTTATCCCATAAAAAAAAAAAAACTCTGTCATAATGCTTTTGTTTTGCAGTGACTTGTTCAATTTTAAAATTGTTGGGTCTAATTTTAAAATTGCTTTTGTCATATTACTTGGTTCAGTTGGTTGTGATTCCAACCTAACTCCAACTTAATAATTAATTAATTGATCCTGCGTCTAGAAACATTTTTGGATTATATATGTAACATGATCACCTCATCACCTGTAACTTGTACTACAAATAAAAAAAACAAAGTTTCATGG